GCCATTAATAAAGTGGACAAAAGTGTGAATTTGAACCAAGATTTGCAACATTTGAAAATTGGTTTAAGAGCTCAGGGAATAGTGTTAGAAGAAGACGGCGGAGACATTCAGGCCATAAGAATCAGTGCATTAAAAGGGACCGGAATTGAGGACTTGAAGGAATCGATTCTAGCGTTGGCCGAAACACTGGAACTCAAATCCTATGCCGACGGAAGTGTTGAGGCAGTGGTTCTGGAGTCGAGTATTGATCCAAAGATGGGAAAGTCTGCTTCACTACTAGTGAAAAGCGGAACTTTGAAAAAGGGTGACCTAATAATTGCCGGTCAAAACTCTTGGGCTAAAGTGAGGGCAATGTTTGACGAGTGGGGGAATGTTGTGCCGAAGTGCGGACCGGGATATCCGGTGAAAGTGATCGGTTGGAGAGAAGACAATCTGCCCGATGCCGGAGACACTGTCTGGCAATTAGCGACTGAAAAGCAGGTGAAAGAACTCATGAGTTCAGTGAAGTCGAGGGAACGTAAGGCTAAAGCGGAAGTGGACGCCAACGCCGCGCAACTCAAACTCGAGGAACACTTAAAAGTATACAAAGAAGAGTTGATTGCATTGAGATCTGCGGGCATTAAATACAAGCGTAAGAAGAATAGAGGGCCGCGAGAAAAGATGTTGAGTCCCGAAGACAACAATAAACTCAATGTGATTGTCAAGTGTGACGTCAGCGGCAGTCTTGAGGTACTGCTCGGTCTGTTCGAGTCGTATCCCAACGAGAAAAGTGAAATCCAAATGCATTTATTGCATTACGGCGTCGGAGGCATCACCGAGAATGAGGTGGAATTGGCCGCTTGTTTCGACCGCACTATCATCTATGCATTCAATGTCAATGCCATCCCTCCTCAGGTCAACAAATTGGTCAAAGAATTAGACGTTTGTGTCAAACGTTTTAATGTTATTTACCATTTGGTGGACGACTTGAAGAAAGAAATCAGCGATCGATTGCCGCTCATCGACGAGGAGATAGTGTTTGGCGAAGGAGTGGTTCAACAGGAGTTCGTTGTCAACGATCGCAATAAGAAGATTCCGGTGGCAGGCGTTCGGTGTGTGAAAGGACTGCTCAAGAAGTCTAACTGTTTCTACAAAATTGTGCGAAAAGAAGAGGAGATAAGCAAAGGACTGACGGTATCGTCATTGAGACACCTCAAGGATGAGGTCGACTCCGTCCGAAAGGACGTCGAGTGCGGCCTTCGGTTCGATGGAGTCATCGGTTTAGAGGGATTGAGATTTCAATCAATGGATTCATTAATTTGTTATGAACTCAAAAAAGTCAAACAAAAGACAAATTGGTCTCCAAAAGGCTTTTAATTATTAGTTATTTTTAATTAAAACATTTATTTATTATACGATAAATTAAAACAAAAATAGTGTTAAAATGTTTTACAATAATTTTGTTGATAATTATGTGAAACAATGGTTTCATTCAAAGGGAAACATAATTTTATAAACAGAAGAGGAATGAAAAACTAGTTAAGAGTTAATAGTATGACAGGAGTTGTGATCAATTGGTTCGTTGATGTTTCGGGAATTGTTGTCCACCACCTCTTCCCCGACCGGTTCCCTGCGGTCGCTGTCCGATCCCGACGTTGCGCTGTCCGCCGCGTCCGCCCCTCTGAGGCATTCCTCCGCGTTTCGATTGTTTCACTTCTTCGCGGACCAAATCAATGACTTCGTCGGGAATTCTCAAGTACTTGATGTTTGAGCCCCTGATATAGCACTCAGGCATACGCCAGAAGCGGTCGCCGTCTCTTGAGGTGCAGATCACTTCCCGAAGATTAATATTCATCCAATTGTCACAACTGACTAAATGGCCGTTATATGTCTCCCCATTCTTCAGCTCCACTAACATCGGGTGGTTTTGAGCCGTTCTCAGCAGTGATAGCGGAAGCATTGCAACCAATCAACGAGTCTGTCCTCTCTTCTTGTCCAACAATAACTGATCCCAAAAGTCGACTCAAACTCAAGACTTGGCTTTTGTGGTAAAAATGTGTGGTTTGAGTGCAAAGCGTTGTTTCAACGAAAAACACGTGACTTATGCCTAAAGGGGGCCAACGCTTGCCTTCACGAGAATTACATTGCGTTCAATGGGTTTCTGTGTTAAACATATGACACAAGGGTTTGCGTAAACGACTTACTGTTGTTGTGTTACGTGATATGTGGACAACCCCTTCAAACATATGATTTGCTGTCATTGGCATTGATTTTGAGCCAATTTTTGACATTAATTTGCATTTAATTGTCATTTTGTGACCACTTTTTACACTTATATTTAATTTAATTATCAATTGATTTATAACTCGTTTGTAATTATTATATAAAATGACATCAAATCGTGGTTTGAGTGAAAGGTTTGTTGTATTTTGATTTGATTTGTTGGCAATTAATTGATTAAATTGTGATTCAATATTGAATAGCATTGAGACTGAGTTGGAAGTGATTGAAGCCATTTATTTAGAGGACATTACCGTTGAAGTGAACCAATCGGCCGATCGTTTGGCCACTATTTGTGTCAACGTATGCCCGAAGACCGGCCACAACACTGACCATCAGTTGGTTCGGCTCACTCTTGTGATTGGCATTCATCAAAATGTATCAAAAACTTTATGATTAGTCATATAAATAGCATTTAATTATATTTGAAACGATTATCTCTTAGTATCCCAACAAATGGCCGGACATTGAGTTTAAGAACATCAGGGGTTTAACCGATGATAAGATAGAGATGTTTGTACCCATTAATTGATCCTTTCTTATCATTGAATTAATGAATTATTAATTTCCAGAATAAAGTCATCGATTGATTCGGTCTGTGAGGAGAAGGGATCGGAACCAATGCTTTACGACATTATCGAGAAGGCGATGGATGTGTTGACAACACTAAACGATCCAATGGGCAATCGGTGTGCCATATGTTTGTACGACTTCACCACCAATGATGAGATAATGCGAAACGAATGCTTCCATCACTTGCATTGTCGCTGTTTCGCTGATTATGTGTCCACTAAAATGACTCATAAAACACAAGAATTAAATAATAGTAAACGAACGGTCAGTGTATCGGAACTTCTAGTTCAGTGTCCCGTCTGTCGGGTAGATCTGAAGACCAGTGATTTAAGAGGATATGTGGATCCAAACCAATACTCAACACCCGATTTGTCGAACGAGCCCTTAGAGGACGAGTCGGTGATCATAGAAGAGGCCAAAAAGAATGTCACAAAATTCCATCCAATTTATGAAAAACAGCTCAAAAACGGCGGAATCATTGATATCGAGAGCGAAAAGAATAAATTCTTTATTAGGATATCGGAGAACAATGAAGAGACTGATGTTTCCTGAGGTTTTCACACCAATTATATACTATATATTTGTTAAGTATTTTCATTAGAATTTATAAATAAATTATTGATTTTATAATAAAATAGTTTATTTTAAAACAAATTTATAATTGACTCAAATTTTATTCGCAAACATTTCTTACGATCGTATTCTTTAATTATAACAGAATTGTTGTGAAAACAAATCACTTCATTATTACATTCATAAAAGAGAAATATCTTTGATATAAATCTACAATAAGAATAAAAAGGGATTTTGGGGTGAATTGGGTTTGCATTGAAATGACAAATACAAGGAAAGATTCTTAAAACATTTAGTGTTCAAACATATAATTTTCAGATTTAATAAAAATATAGTGTTAAACAGCAAAACCATATGTATTAATAGTAAAACAATATCAAAAAACTTCAATATCAATTAAAATTAATTTAAAACAATTTGATAATCTGTTATAAACAATAATAATCACGAATAGTTAGTCTGGGGTTAAAACAAATGAATAGTATTTCGTATTATGAATTCAATTTATGTCACTATTTATCAGAATTGATGTCAAAGAATGTTAAGATATTGGACTCGTTTTGCGAATTTTGTGGTAACAGTTGTACTGTTTTTCTTCAGATATAATTCAATTGATATTGAATAACAAATATATAATATATATAACAATATATAGATTTGGGTTTAAATCCATAAGACATATCTCTACATAAAATTCATTACTTTTTACACAAAATATTTACTATAGTTTACATGTGTTTGAAGAATAAGTTGTTATCAGTTTTTTGTTGTTGTAATTAATAATGTTTCTCAGGACTAGCGGTCGAAATATCGGATTTTACAGTAAATATGATATTAATTATAAGTTAAAATTTGAGCACATCTTAGGAATTTAAAACTAATAGCAATTTAATTGTTAGTATTATAACTGTAAATGATTTAATGCTAACTGATTGGAGTCGAGGGCATCGCTACAAGTGCTGGTATTGGCCTCACAGTTGAACGTCGAATATGAGTTACTTTTATCACATTTTGAGGGTATTGTAAATCCATTGCGAGTTTGTTGTTGAAGGGATGGCATCACATCCACCCACGAATCCATTGACGCATTTTCTGACATATAGTCCACACAATTGGATCCGTTATTCAGAGCTGATGGCTGTGTAAAGGAATGCATTAAATCAAGTTAAGTGAATAATGGATGCAATAATGGATGCATTAGTTGGACAATCACCTCATCATTGATGGCATTGCAATACTTCACTTGTTGACAGAGTGCCAAACGCGCCAAATAGAGTTCTCGTCTCAAGTTTTCGATCTCATTCTAATCAATCAATTTAGGTTGAAATGCATTGAAAAACTATCATTAATTCAATGTTCAAAACATTTGGTCAAAATAAGCAATAATTTATGCGTCAATTGTTGGACAAGTTATAGTGTAATCACATTTTCAAATCAATCATCAAACTAACAATTCGTAAATCAAACAAATGGATCATAACATTGTTTTTGAAGCTAAACTTATATATTAATTATTATTAACACAGCTTTGGGTTATTTGATGTCAATATAATTGTATTAAAATGCAATTAATAGCAAATATTGAGATCTGTATAAACATATGACCATTTATTCTAAAGTTTAGAATCTAAACACTAATAATCAAACCAAATAATATTTAAGAATTGAAAGTTAAAACATGATTAGTCTATCATTGAATGAATGGTTAGTAACATTGTATTCACTGACTAAGAGACCGTTCAGAAATAAATGTCCGTATAACTTTAGAACTAATCAAGATAATTTTATTATGTTTTCAGATTCTAAGAACACTAACCCATGTCTAGTAGACATTGTCTACATATTCTGTAAAATGTATCATGATTCATTACAAGTTAGTGTTTATTTATTTTTTATTTTATTTTTTGAAAAACTGAAATCTCCAAAAAATTTATTGAAATAGAGAAACTTTTTCTTGTTTGACAAGTCATAAGTGTCTTTGTACTAAATATAGCTACACATCTCATCTATAATTTAAACATATAATTTTGTCTCATCAAGCTCATAGTCTTAACATTACCCATGTTAAACCTATGGCATATTATTAACATGTGTAATGCTGAGGCTATGCCATATGTTTAACATGGGCAATTCTTTGAGTCTATGAGTAACCATACAGTAGTTGTAGAATATTATTAAAATAACAATACATAAATTAATGCATGCAATATACATGTATAACAGTAATATTGTGCTATAATTTCTTATCAATAGCTTCGTAAGTTTTGGACTCACAAGTCAGAGTATACACACTATTTGTGAATATGATAGAAATATGGCTTAAACTGAATAATAGTTGTGACAAACCTTATTGGATCCGATGATCTGTTGAAGTCTAACGAGAAGTTTGTCACGTATGAGAACGTGTCCGTCGATATCAAAAATGTCTTGACTGATGGCTCCGTCGAAAGGAAAGGCTTCGAGACTTTGTTCATCATTAGGAGTGGCCGGACAGCCAGAACTCGGAGTTCGCGTATGTTTTCCATTCCCATAACCATTGCATGAATTACCGGAACCACTGTTTTCACTAGAATTTTGTCTCAAAATAGGAGTACTACACGTTTGGGTCTGTTTTTTCTTATGACTGTATATGGAATCGTATAATTTGTCGTATTGTACGGTCAGGTCATTGGTTTGAACGCAAGAACTGCTCAGTTCAGTAGTGCTGGTACTCATTGTCAATAAACTGTTTTCAGGACAACAGTTCTGAATGCTTTCAATGTAAGAGTTGTTGCCATTCATTAACGTTTCGGTCGATAACATACTAAAGTGAGACGTGAGACACAATTCCGAGTCCTCTAAGACACCGCTCTCTGAGTTACGACTCGAAGGCTGCGGAACAGAACCGCCATCACTGGTATCGCTTCTGGTGTTCACTCCATTGGTCTGGAGGTCGTGAATGTATTTAAAGATTTCAAAGCATTTTCCTCTTCCCCTTTCAATTTGGTCGGCAATATTCAACGTTCGCAACAAATTGGGATCACTATTATGTCTGGTCTTCAGAGGCGAACAGCAGTGGTGTTCCACTTGATTGTAGTCAACATCAGACGCCACGTTCTCACAGGACCTGGTCTTTGATAAGGAATGGTGTTTATCGCTGGCAATGGTGTCCATATCTGATTCGGTTTCATTGGTCTCATTGTTGGAAGCGTTCAATTCTGAATCCATTTGTTTGGATTCAATGGTCGACTCTTTGATGACACCATTTATATGATTGCTTCCATCGGTTGTGTCATAATTAATACTGTCTTTGGGCTCAGATTCGAGACTATTATTTGGTTCGATTACTCCATATCCGGATGAAGACAATGGCATATAGACATCACTCCAGAACACTATATCTTTTGCTTTGCACGACGGCCTCAACACCTGTGCAGTGATAATCACATCAAAATAACATTCAATATAATCACAAAATATCATTCAATGATAATACACATGAAACCAATGGGTGATGTCATACCTGATCGTTGTGTACATACAGATAATTGACATAATATTGACGCATATTATTAAAATAAGACCAAACAGAATACGTCTGATCATTGATCTGATGGTCAATTCTTTCGCGCATATTATTGCAGATAAAGGTTCCAAACAGTGATGAATACGTGTGTTGAATGAGTTTTATCTGTTAAATACAGTATACATTTCAGTATAAAATCTTCAAAATTTCACTCAAATATTTTCAAAATTACCAGAAAATTAGTGTTAAATTCAAAACTACAGGGAAATTGAAGAACCAATTGATGGACACAGTCTAACCATTGGAGAAACACAGGACACCTCTCATTGATATCCTCAGAGAAGGCTCCGTTACCGCAACGATCGGCAAATTTATGGCCGAATTGAATCCATTCTCTTTCAATAAGCACTTTAAAGCCATCGATTGTACGATAGAATGGATCCAACATTAGTTCAGCCAAAGCCACGATTTGAGGCGTTCGGTCCCATCCGTCTGAACAGTGAACTAAAACAGGTCTCTCTTCTAAATCAATGGCATTGACCACAATTAGGGCTGATTTCAAAAGTCCCGATATATTGTGCAACCACTTCGTGTTGTCCAGAAGTGTTAGCCAACTATTCAATACATAAACAAGAGTTAGAGACACTATAAGGACCACTGATGGGAGAGCAGCGCAACACTTACTTGATCTGATCGGCGGGAGACTCACACATATAACGGAGAGAATGAAAGCTTTTGCGAATGCTATGAATGTTAGCCAAACTCATGAACTGGACTTCACAGCTCAGGTAATATTCAGGACACTCACAGCCGCCGCCCTTCGCCCGGTTGGCCACTGCGGCCGTATAACTGCGAGCGTCCAAAATCAAGAGCTTCTTATTGAGAATATCACCAGAACTACAAGACTTAACAATGGCGTGAAGGAGGAGCTCGTCGTGACTGTTGCGCCACCCGAGCCAACCCACCTCTGGCTGACTGCTGCGGGCGATGACGCAACCATTCTTGCGGTGTCGCCACACGACAGTCGGTATTCGTCGAGAGTAGCGAAAGTTGGCGACCGATTCCAGGTCTTTGTCGCTTATATTCTGAGGCACAACCAGATATCGCGGATAAGACGAGCAAAGTTTGAACTCTTTGTTTATATCACTTATTCTCCAAACATTGTTATAAGACATTCGTCTAAATTCTTTAGTCAGTGTCTCATAACAGTTACGGATGTGTTTGGTATCGGAGAAAACATTTGACGACTTCTTATCAATTTTGGTTCCGTTGAAGAATTTGAAACAAAACAGATCTTCGAGTTTCGACTGTGAAGTGCAGACATCGATGAGACGTTTGTACCAAAGAGTACAGTCGTCTCCCGAGCGAAACGAGACAATGAAAGATCGCACGTGTTTTGTATAGATGTATAAATAGTTAAGATCTCTCAACTCGATTGTCTCAATCATACCGATCGGCAAACTTATGGGAAGTCTGTCTCTGGCGTTCATATATGACACAAATAGTCGATAATTAGTGACAAATATGTTGCCATCAGTTGTGGTCCCGTTCAACAGCGCTGTCTCTCCGGAGAGCGGCGGAAATGGCAACGCCTGTGACATCGAGGCCGTCGTTGGCAGCGATGGTGTCTCAGGGATACCACCATTAAAGAGATGATTTATATGAGCGCTAGTACTGCCACAACTGCTTCCACCACTGCTTCCACCACTACTACTACCACTACTAGTGCTTTGATGAGCACTACTATTGCCATCAATTAAATCATTCAATCCATTGGCAGGTGTTTTGTGATTATGGCTTAACGTAAGCCCCGAGTCATCACTTTTAGCGCATCCGTTGGCCATCATTGATGACGAAACCATTGCTCCCAAAGGATCGCAGTTTGCCGTTGGGTTCACTTGTGATACATTGTCATCACATATAGGATCTGATAATTGTTTGACGCAAAAAGTTTCACTTTGTTTGTCAAATGAGATATTATTGCTATTAATGTTATTATTCATTGCTATCGATATTCAAGTATTTATTAAACATTTCTAATCAATGAAAACATTAAAATGAGTCAAAAAATAATAATTTGATTATTAATTAATCAAAAGACAAACAAATCGTTGGAAATATGATTGAAATTCACAGCAAAA